TGGTTAAGTGTTTTCAGTCACAAGATGGCGCCAGACAGTCAACGATAGCGGAGTGACTCGTTAAGCATATAAGTAGTAGCGGTCAAGATAACTCGTAGTACCCGGATGAGCGGTGTGTTATTCCATTTGGCGGTTGTTATCTGGGAATAACATACCGCTGGATGGCGCGATTGACCAATCAGAATCAAGTATTCCACAGAGCCGTGTAATAAATATATATATATATATATATATATATATAATTTTTTGAAAGACTGAGACAGCTGTTTCTAAGTAGAAAAATTAATATATACAGTAAAACAACAAAAAGGTACATTTATGTTGCCCCCTTGTGGCAGAATGAGCTACTGCAACTTCACTTTTTTCCCCCTCATTTTCACAAAATCCAGTTAATCAGTTGTCTTGTCCTATAAACTGCAATCTTCTTTGATGTGGTTATGTGGTTTATAGTGTTAGCGGTTAAGGTCTGAAGAACAAACCTTAAGATTATTACATCCAGATGTAATAGACATTGTTTCTATCAAACATAAGAGCTTTTGAAGACAAAACATTTTCTTTGTAAAATTAAAAAAATAAAAGGCTAAATGATTGCATTTTATCTTTGAATTAATTGAGTGATGCTAGATTAAGACTGTGTAATATCACTTTAAGTTTACCATAATGATACCTGGTTTATGTTAAACAAATAATTCACCCAAAATCATTTACTCACCCTCACGTTGTTCCAAACATGTTTGATTTACTTTCTTCTGTGGAAAACAAAAGGCATAATTCTGAAGACAGAGGACAAAAAAAAACAAAAAACATAAAAAGTAATTCATACAACTTGTCCGCTCTGTCCATGGAAAATCTTGATATCACCCATAGCTTGCCTCAATAATTAAAGTTTATGAGAAGTAGCCATGCCCAAAATTGTGGATAATTTGTATTTTTTTTGGAAATTTTAAATGAGTCTTTTGATCCGGTTCACAATATCGGCCTTGATGATTCAAAGAATCAGATCGATGTAGTTCTTGAGTTCAACTCAGTGACTCAATGATCAAATCAGTCTATCAGTGAATAATGACTTAAATTTCATGTCAACTATTCCATGAATGGATAATGGCAGTACAGCTTTCAGCAGATTTAGCAGAATAAAGTCATTCTCAACAATACCTTCTAATTTTCATTTCCAGGATGTTAAACCTGGAGATGTTCTGCAGAAAAAGAACATGTGGGAAATTATTGGAGAAGGTTCTGCAGCCGAGAGGCCGGGACTGGGAGGAAAGGTAAATATTCAGATAAGAAATGTACTGATAAACCTCAAAATGATAAATATAGGTTGAGAATGAATCTCTTACTGAATGCCTCTCATGCTATTTCTTCTACTCAACTTTTTTATTTTATTAATATTTGTAGGCCTCCTCCTCGGGTAAACGATGCAAGTTTGTTGTGACAGGCCATGGGAAATACGAGAAGATTTGATGGTGATCATTACAGTGTCTACCCGAATGAGTGAGAAAGTGAGACGCTTTCTTCTATTTTACATAACATATACCTAATTTAAAGCTAACAATAAAAATATGATTCTGTAAATAAAAATGCCTCCCCAAAAAACACAATGGGAACATGAACACATGCCTTTTTACAGACTAGCGGAGGCGTGCTAGGTAATGTTATCTAATATTAACTAGCTATCAGGCTAGTAAAAAACTAGCTACGTAGCATTTTAGGCAATATAGAAATCCTGGCCAGGACGCGTCCTGGGAAATTGGCATGTATGGTCACCCTAACATATACCTAATTTAAAGCTAACAATAAAAATATGATTCTGTAAATAAAAATGCCTCCCCAAAAAACACAATGGGAACATGAACACATGCCTTTTTACAGACTAGCGGAGGCGTGCTAGGTAATGTTATCTAATATTAACTAGCTATCAGGCTAGTAAAAAACTAGCTACGTAGCAAGCTAGCTAAGATTAGTTTTAAAATGTTGAATGTTGTAGCATTAGAGCATAAAATACGCTTACATTATTTCTAGTGCCTTATGGGATGACTTCCATTTCCTCATAAGTACACACTGACACTAATGTACTTTTTTTTTAACGAGAGTCCTAAAAACTAATCTCACTAAATAAATGTCATTGTTCTAATTCAAAACGTTGTTGAAATAAGAATATTGCATAAAAACGTTATGTCTCAAGTAAACTTTGGAGAGGTAATATAATTCATTTTAAAATAGGCTATATCTGAAAACACTTGAAAATTATTTTACCTTTTGAAATCTTGCAGTCTGCAGGGTTTTCATATGCCTGTTTGATAATATATCGATACAGTATCTCAAACAAATCACAGCAAGCTGCTATCACAATGCAAATGTTTTCATTCAATGGCATGAAAGTAGTCATACAAAATATCCTCTCTCAAAACAGGTATTTTATAAAAAAAATATATAAAATAACATTAAATCTAGTACAGTGCACCTTAGAATGCAAAGCAGTATACACATCAACATCAGTAAAGAGAAAATGTTCTCAGTCTGACGGTTTCTGCAATAAAAGACCAACATGCAAAAAAGGCCAAGCCCACGAACTTAACATTACCTGAAATGAGAACATGCATGAGTTGACAATCAGCATTCGCTGTTATGTATTTAATCACATTGAAGCAACCATTTACTGTATATTTAAGGTTTGGAAAGCTCCATCAGTGAAAGCTCTTTGTCAACACTGAGCACCAAGCAGGGCAGCAGAGCAGAGTGCGCCATGCCTTGCTTTCGGTACTAATAAGGCTTAGTACAAATTTCCAAAACTTAGCATACTTACTGTATACATCTCGTTCTTATACTATCTCTTAATCCTTCTGCATTTTACCAGTTCCACTTGCCCACCCATCTAAAACTCACTCAATTGTCCCTACACCTTCAAAAACATACAATAGCAATTTGTCCCTCAACACCATGTTATCTTGTATAATATCATATCCTCACAAAGACTTTTTACGCCCCATTAAGCACCATAGAATACTGGCGGTAGAAAAATATTGCTAAGAAAAAGGTGTGGTGTATTTTATCATAATGTTAAAAAAGAATACAGTGAGGTAACTTCAAATTTTAGATGCCTAAACCCTGCATATATTTTACATTTTCTTACCCAAAAACACTTTCTTGATTTTGTGTCTTGTGGCAGGCTGGAGTGATAATACTTCTTTTTTATACAAATTTTTGAAATTATCTTTTTTTTTTTTTTTGATGATGAAAATGTTTAGGGATGTAAGTATTATCAAAATATTACCATATTTAACATGCTTATGAAAAATGTTGACATAAGCTTTGGAAGTCTTAAGCAATAAAGTCTTTAATTTAAAAGCTTCAAAACCATATGATTTTTTTTTCTTTATTCAATATTCTAATTAGCTTAAATGGTTAATGCCAGTTGACAAGTGGGCAATACCTACTGCAAATAAGATATTGTGCATTTGACAGATCTTTTTTTTTTTAGTTTACTTGCCAATTTACCTGTTATAAAGTTATAAAAGTATATGTAAAGAATTGGACTGGATAACAAACAGAACTCTACCATCGCAATGAAAGCTAACAATATCCTTGCCCATTATTTCTATGTTATTCAGTTAGACGCCAGTGGTTTAAGAAATACTGAAGCCTTTGGCTGTTCTATTAAAGTCTTTTGGTTCTTCGTCTTTATTTTTGCGGCCTATGAGTCCCATTTCAAAAACTGTTGCAATCTTTGTTGCTGGTCGCGAAGCTGCCTCTCTTAGTCGTCTGGCATCAAACCGCGGGCTGTACAGGAGAACTGGCAAACAATGCGCAAATGTGGGAATCTCTTCTGACCTTTTCTGTTCTGCCTCCATCTTCTTTTGCTCCTCAGTTTTATTGGCTTCAATTTGTTGCATTATATTCTCTTTGGTGGAGAACATTTGGAAGAGGACAGCATCCCACATTTTTGCTGCCCTTGGGGAGTCTTTACTATCCTGGCTCTCACTAGACTTAGCTTCGGCTTCAGACTTATTTTGCATTTCACTTACATTTTGATCAGTGCTGGGAGGGATGTCTTTCTTTGACGCAGACTCTGCCTCTGGAAAATTGGGCTCCTCTGCTTCAACCACCATGTGTTTCTTAAGGCGAGACCAGCCACTGAGTTTTGACTTCATGCCTTTTGGTTTCTGCATCACCTTCAAGAGAGGCTCTGCAGTCAGGGAGGAGCCTTCCTCACCCTCCTCCTTCTTTTCCACTGCAGGCTTGATCTCCTGTTGGGGACTAGATTGAACCTTTTCAGGTTCAGTGTCCTTTGTTTTAAGGTCCTTTTTGTCTTCTTTTGGTTTAGCCAGTGGCTTAACCACATCCTTAACCTCTCCTTTATCAGGAGTTTTTTCAGAAGAAGCGGCTTCAAGCTTCTGCTTCTTAATTCTCTCTAACAAATAAATGTTTGTCTCTGTTGGCTTCTCTGGTACTTTGGTTGTTTTGGCATTAACTTTACCTTCTGACACCTTTGGAAGTGCTGGCTTTCCCACATCTTGGTCAGATAATGGCACAGCCTTACTTTCAGGTTTTGGAGTTTCCGTCACAGTTGGAGGGGTTGGTATCATTTGGGAAAATCTGGGAGATCCATAGGTTGGAGTTCTGACTCTTGGTGTCACAGTACTTATTGGCTCTGCTTTTGCTTCTGATGGTGGTGTATCAGCTACAGATACCACAATAGTTGGAATTTTAACATCAGGAATTTTTGTTTTTAATTCCGGCACAGTTGGCTTGGGAATGTCCCTTACAGAATTTGCTTCTGGCTCAGATGCTGCCTTTGGAACCTCTGGAAGTGGAGCCACCACAGCGGTTTCCTCTTTAACAACACCAGCCTGAGGTGGCTGGACTTCAACCTGCTCGTTAGGCTTTACCTCAGACTTGCCATTCGTCATGGTCACATTTTCATCAGATTGAGGTACTACTGGTTCGTGTTTTGTAAGATGAGTTGCCTCTACACTTGGCAGCGCAGTTGATGTCGAAATGCTAAAAGTGGGTGTGCAACTCTTTATTCCTCCATGGGCAACATATTCAGCGGGAGTCAATCCATAATATGTTGGTTTGGATTTAGGTGCTGTTGGTGTTTTGGGTCTTTGACCTGCAAATGGAAGGACTCTAGATAAAGGTTTCTGATACCCAACTGAAGATAAACCAGGCTGCGCAGGTTCAATCTTGGGTGTTGTTGGAGTTTCAGGCTTTGGCTGCTCATTTGCATTAAGGTTTGAGCTCTCCTTGGGTATTTGGGTCTTTGGCTTTGATGACTCAAGTTTTGACAGGTTTCCTGTGGCCTTATCCAGCTTTTCTTGTAAGGGTTCAGTTGATTTGACATCTATTTCCCCATTTTCTAATATTTTTGAATGAGTAGTATCATTCACATGATTTGAAATTTTATACATTTCTTCTTGTGGACCAGTCAAACTTGACGTTGGCGTTTTGGATCTTCTGCCCTCCATGTGCACAGGAGATACAGCAAATAAAAGTGGATTTGGTCTTGAAATCTCAGTCACAGATACTCTAACACGTGACACATGATGTGAGGGTGTCTTGGGACGTCCTGCATGTGTTTTTATTGAAGTAAAGTCATATGTTGGTGTTTTTACTCTTGTTGGTATTGTAACCCCCTTCGTCTCGAGTGTTGGAGTTGCACCCCGTTTTGTCTCAGGTGTCGTCGGCATTGCAGTTTTTTTAGTCTCTGAAGCTGGAGTACTGACCCTTTTTATTTCAGAAGATGAAATTGTCTCTTTCCAGACTTCAGAAGTTGGAGTTTGGCTTTTCTTAATTTCTGAAGTTGGGGTTGTAATCCTCTTGACTTCAAATGCCGTTGTTGTAATCCTTGTGATATCTCTGGTTGGTGTTCTGTCTCTTCTTATTTCAGATGTTGGTGTCACTGTCCTTCTAACCTCAAATGTTGGTGTCAGGGCTCTCAATAAATCTGCAGTAGGTGTTTTACTCCTTGTTGGTGATGCATGAGGTGTTCTCAAACCTACTGATTTTGCTGTGTAATTGGTGATTTGAGGAACTTCAAACAACGGTTTTGCTGTTCTAGAGACATTCAGAATGGTTGGCTGAGGGCTTGGAGATTTAGAGGTTACATGAGTGGTAAGATTTGAGCTGACTTCCAATCTTTGTGAAGTTTGTAGAATAGTGACTGATGCCGTAGCATGTGTGTCAAGTCCTGGAACTGGTGAGGCGGTGTATGTAAATGCTGGAGACAGGTGTTGGGGAGCCGCATATGGTTGTGGTGGAAACCTTGCCGTCTTGCCGTAAGTGAATCCTCTGTGATGAGGATAAGGAGACGATACATGCTGATACAGTGGTCGGACGTTGAAGCGTGGGTGTACCGTGCCAATGTAGAAAGGTGTCTCTGGAGTCTTGGGAGGTGTTGAGTGATCACTGTGCTCCAGGTCAGGGCTCGCTTCATTTACTGGAGAGAGGCTTGAGCGGAAGGGGACCGATGGTTGTGAGGCCTGGGCTGCAGCTTTTTTCTTCGCTGTCTTCTTGAGTAGTTTCTGGAGCCGGACATTTTCTTTCCCAGGTTTGGGACGCAAAGGTGGGGGGTACTGCTGGGAAAGCAGGCCTGCCTGAGCAGCATTGCCAACATTGACAGCCATTAAATCTTCAGCCCCTGAAAGAAATAAATAACAGATATTGTGTACTTTGAACACAACAATAATGAATAATGATTGTTATGACTAATAATGGTAAAAAGGTGCAAACCATTCCAAAATTAGGCATTGTAAAATAAATCAGCAAAAAACTTTGTTCACTAATATTTTTGTTTTCTCTTTTTCAGGTGAACTTTCCAGTGATCGCTTGTGAGGAATTTAATACAGCAATAACATCTTTCCTGATTCACCAAGAACACATATACATTAACATATATGTAATACAATATTTCAGTCAACTTTTCAAAACATAAGGAAGAAACAATTACACTAAATTGTTACACTAAATTGTATGTGCTTTTATGTTTTTATTATTTTATTATGATTGTTAAATTTTTGACTGTTCTAATGGCATGACGTTGGGACGTTTCCCTACAATCTATTTGTCGCATGTAAAAAGCAAACTTATTCTAATCTGACCAATTGCAACAGAATATAAAGTCTTAGTTTCTTTTTTTTCCCCCTCAGTATTTTCTGAAGTATTTGTGCTGAAATTATGCCCACTTCTAACAATGTATGAACTGAATGTGAATGTCAAATAGATCAAATAGTGATGATTTTTGTCAACTGTTTTTATATTGATTATCTATGCTATTTTTATACTATGACACATTGTTACATTTATATAGACTTGAATAGTAGATGAACAGAATATTCCAAAAACATTTTCCAAATTCCTGCAGCTGATTCTTATGCATTTTAAGTCACAAATGTTTTTACTGCTATATTTTATTACAAATATGACATTGATTTTCTTGCCTCTCTGCTCTAGTTCTTCATAGTTTTGCATAATGCATAATTGACTACACTTTTTGGATTTCAAGAAAACACTGGAATTTCTCCATTTATCATATTTATAATATTAATCTAAACATGTTTGTTTAGTTACAAGCATTGTGCTACCCACTGGTATTGAGAATGGTTAAAACAAGAATGTAATTTGTAGGCCATTACAGCTTTTATTTTCAATAAATTTGATATTTTGTATGATTCTTAATTTAGATTTTGGCTGCTTATTCTCAATGTAAAATGGAAATATCAGAATGGTTTTCACTTGATAAGATGTCTCAGTTATGACATGTTCCCATGCAGTAAACTTCCACAACACATCTAGGATAGCTCATTGGCCTAATTTAAGGGTGAAAGCAAATGAGCAAGTCATCTGCTCCATGTCACAGAGTGTGGTGCCACTTTCCACCCTCACTGTAAACCAATGCCAAGAGATCTGGGGGCAGTAGTCATAGGTGGGGCAGCTACATAATAAATCACTGAAAATTTACTACCAATCAGATTCAGTGGTTTCTGTTGACGCACAACCTAAGATCATATATCACAGAACTGCTTGTAAGTTTTTCAAACTGTACTGATGCATACTGTATTGATATTTTTACTAAACTACCTTAACACATTGAGATAATAATTATTTTTTAATTATTAATTATTCATAAATGATATTCATGAAACACTCGTGGACATTTCCTGGCTCATTTATGCAATAATAAAGATAATAATTATATATAAATGTTATGAATTAGTGGGTTTATAATTCTTTTTTGGAAAAGCATAAATACAAGAATAAATCTCACTAAATGTAGCTATATTTGTGCTTAAAATGTATAAGAAAATATAAGAAAAAAGCCATTGGGGAAAGAAAAACTGCATTCAGTATATATTCTCCTAAAACATGTTTTAGTATGAGAAATTTCTTATTTTAGGGATGTTTAGATATTTGACTACAAAATACAAAAACTGACTACAAATTAAATCCAGTTGACTTAGGAAATATTTTTTAAAGTATGAGATACTGAGCATAATTACTTATTTTGTGTCTGTATAACACAATCTTTTTGCAAAAGTGCACATGTGGGCCACCTGTAAAAGCTTGTAAAAGAAGCCTCTAGCCCAGAGTGACACAAAGAAGAACCATATGAGAGGAGGTCGTCCTTTTAAGGCCCTGGTAGGCTGAGCAGTTTGGAGAATTTCCAAGACGCAAGTTCAAAAGAGGAAAGGGCAAGAATAGCAAAGCAGTAAAATCATGCACAGCATAATTGCTTCTTAGCAACCACCTGGTGAAAAAAAAATCATTGTACATGTAAAAATATGTGTTCTGTGGCGGTATGTACTTATACGCATGTGCTTAAAAAAGATAACTTACCAAGAGATGATTGTAACAGAAGACAGTTGAAGACACTTCAGACAAGGTCCCCTGTACATATAAACATGCATGATTTATTATACATGTCCTTGAAAATAAGCAACTGCATTTTAAATATAAAATACCTAAAATATGGTGACATTTAAACAAATATTGGTATTATTAATCTCAGTTTAATACTGTTATTACAATCCTGTTGCACAAATCTGTCAAGTTAGCCTGTAACAAACTGCTGAAGCCTTTTCACAAAGGACAGACATGGCATGCACTTCCACACTAGGCATTCATATAATAATAACCGAAAGACAAAAATATCACATTTCAAGCAATTTTTTTTGTGGTTTTATACCTGTTTGTCTGCTGTTCAGGGGTGTGCGGTGGCTGCCTGCTTGTCCCAGCTTGGACTGTCAGAACGGGAGACTCATGTTGAGTTCAACTATTCCCCTTCCTTCAAATGGAAGGCACAGGCTCCATAGCAGTCCAAAAATAAAACCCTGAGTCTGTTACTCAGAATGCATGGCGAGTGGTGACGGTGTAGAGGGAACCGTCAGCGAAGCAGGGGGCATCCAGGTCACCTTAGATATCATCAAGTGTCCCCCCTCCCCCATGACACCTGATGCACACACCCTCATCTACACAATCTATAAGCACAACGCCCCCTACAGTTAAGAAGAAGTAGTTGTTTATTTTGGAGCTCTGTTGCGAGCCAACTTTTTAAATTTGTTCACTTGTTGCTTGCAAGACACTTTCTTCAAATACACCAAACAGGATATTAAACAAGAAAAAATGAGAACAACATTCTTATTTCATGTTGATTACCAATGTTGCACCTGAACTCTGAGTATAGTTGTAGTGTAAATGAGCACTATGTGTGATTAAACGTAGTTGAAACTTAATCCTGTGAACTGGCTAAATATTTATGGAAGCTTCAGGCAAGAAGTAATGGTTGGAATAAAAAGCCATCTGATCTGATTACACCAAAGAGCTCATGTGTTCATTTACAAACATCAATCTTCCTGGCATATATGATGAAGCTGATATTTACACTTTTTACATTATAAAATACAAAAGCATGAAACTCATCTAAATGGTATATGCGCATAATGTAACTGATGAAATTCACCAATCTACTGAATGTAAAGTGGTGTAAGAGGTTTTACCAGCTCCTGATTTATGTAAATGTATTATTTACATATTTGATTATACTGTTTATTATAATTAATAATTATGCATTGTTATTGCCAGGCTGGAATTGCTACAATTGGTATATCAATGAATTTACATCAACAACGGAGAATAGAGTTCAGAGTTACTAGGTTGCATCTAATTGTTGAATGCCATTTAAATTAAATTACAGAAATGTATTGCCATATTAGTGACCTATAGACATTTACAATGAAAAAAGGAAACTGTATCTGTATGAAACATTTACACCAGTTGGAGTTACAGTACAACTCATATCATTTCACAAACAGTTTCATATCACTGAGGAGTTCCTAACACAACATGTGTGGACTTGGGAGTGAGCCCTGGGGAACACCTCACAACTTTGTCTGAAGCATTTATCCATTATGTTGAAAATAACACCAAAAGGCAAGCTGATCACACTCACATTCATCTCATTCAGAAAATGCGTTCATTGTGCTTACATAGTCCCACAGCAAATGTAGCAACAGTGTCTCAGCTCACTCTTCCAAACTTATGCCTCTGTTACTTTTCCTCAAACCCTTGTCCATCAACTTATTCAGTGCCTGGGCCAAGATCTGGACCTTCCCTTCTTTACCCTTCCCACTATGGAATCTCCACCAATGGGAGATTTTCACAGATCAAGTTTCACTATAACAGAAAGACTTTTTCATGGCTGCATGTTTGCTGAACTTTACAACCAGTCTCCGCCAGCAGGGAGCTCACTTCTTTCAGCTTTTCTGAGGTAAGAGTGAAAGAGGGCACGAGTGTAATGGGTGAGGAAATTGCGAGGGCAGGAAAGCTTGTACATAGTTGCGAGTGAGTTTAGACTAAGACAATTTGTGACAATGAATGTGTGAACTCATCATGTTTTACACAAACTTGTGGAGTTCATATAGCCTAATCCATTTAGTTGCATCAAAAGCTTATTCAATTATTGAAACCTTAAAGTTTACATATAAAATAAAGCTGGATATCTTTAAAATTACATTTACATTTAATTTATTTTAAGTTGCCTGAATGACATAATTTATTCATTAGATATTATCTACAATTTCTATGTCCAAATATAGAAAGAAAGAAAAAACTTGAGCTGGAACTTGGAAACTGGAAAATGTTTGGGCCTATTAAGTGCAGCTGTCAAATTCTTTTTGACCTGAGATGCTTGTAGGGATTACTCACATCCATTTCCTGACTATTATTCAGAAGTTACCAATTGATTGATTTTAAATTTGAATTAATCAAATCATAAAAAGATTTTTGTAGTATTTTGTCAAATCTGAGTCCTGCAATATAAAAATAAATATTAGTTTTTGTCCACATTTTGTCCACTTAAGAAGATGTTCTAAAGGAAAGTGTCTGTCTTTTGATCTTTTCAACTCTCTTGAAAAGGCCATGAATCTCCCAGGCAACGTGGAATACAAACTTTCACATACATCTAAGTATGAGCAAGGGCATTTCTCATTTAGCATGCGTCAGCCAGTTCACAGGTCAGCTAATAAGAAGATTTGGTCAACGCTTAGCTAAAATTACTTTATACATCTTGTGAGAAACCGAAAAGTGAAAAGCATAGCAGACTACTATAAACAAAGATATAATTGTTGCCTTAAAATGTAATACATATTCTGGTTTATGGCCAACATAACTTTGGAGTAAGTATTTGCACCCTACATTCCTGGTCCTCATTTATATTGATTATTTCATTTGGCAAAAAGCCCCATTAGTTCAGCATGAAGGGGCCAACGGGAAAGGGAAGAGATGCTTTCATGACAGTTTTATGAATCACTATATGTATTCATTAGACTCCTTGCAGTCTTGCCTTGAGGTTCTGATTTGTGCATCATTCTTTCATTTTCTTTTAGTCTCAAAGTCCACTATCACCATGTCAGACACAGAGGAGGTGTAAGTATCATACTTCCAAGGAATTTCCTTCATTTTGTAGTCCAACTGAACTTTAAAACATGCTTTTCTATGCATATTGAACGGCATTTGTATGAAGTACACTAACAGGGCATAATCAAGCCTCTGTTTATTATTTGTTCTTTACAGCGAGCATTTTGAGGGCGAGTACAATTTTTCAATGTTTTCTTGTAAAATATTATTGCTTGAGCATTTATTTTATTTTAAACAATGTAAATATTTGTAATGTATCAGTTCGCCATTTCTCCTTATGGTCATTGTGTAGGCATAAATGTAATAATTGTGCAGTCTATGATACTGCTGCACTGGTGCTAAATCATTTCTAAAATGATCATTCCATGGATGCAACTTTCATCTGTTAGTAACAACTTGTATATGTAAAACATCCTGGTCTCCATCTTTGAGCTTTGATTTTTACATTCTATTTGATTGATTTTATTAAACAATGAGGTATATCAATGGCATTTATCTTATTTACACTGAATCTGTAGTGCTTTCATCACACAATGTGAATAACATTATCTTACGGACATAAAAAGTATAAATAAATAAATGTGCAAATATATTTATGTGAAATAAATGTATAAATAAATACAATAAAACATAAATAAGGCAGGTATGTCTTTTTAAAAAAGTTTTTGTTGGTGGAAAAATGTCGTTGTTGGCAGATTCGGTCCCTTAGTATTATAATTGCTAATATCCATTCTGTTCTTGTTTTCTGTTCTCGTTTAATGCTTCCTGTCATTGAAGAGGAAGGTATGTTGATTACAGATGTATCCCACTTTATCATGTTGAAGGGACTGCTGTGTCCCTTGTTTCAGTTGTCTGCAGCCTCCTCCTAGTGGACAACATCTATAACGCTGTCCCTTCTAGTCAAGAGTGGCATACTGGATGGAGCAAGACTAATCCAAAAATATATACAAGCTAACCATAGTCCATACAAATTTGGGCAATAATCTATCCAGAGATTAGGCTTTGAAATGAAATGGGTGAAAGAGTTTTTAAATTATAAGAATTGTGCAGCGACCCTTTTTTTTTTTTTGAGTTTGCTTTGCATGGCTTGTATTGAAAACCTACCCACTCATTTAATTTCACTCATATTTTGTTTTATTTTAAAATCATTTTTAATGTATTATTTTTAATAAATTATCTACATCTATAATTACATTTTTAAAAAATGTGGTTATATATACATTTTTTATTTTTTTTATTTTTATTTTATCTAATTTCAAAATGGAAGAGGATATATATATATATATGAATACACACACACACACACACACACACACACACTTTTACATATATTCAATAATAAATTATTTAACAGTCTATTATTGATCTATTCATTAATTAAATTTCCTTTCCTTCTAATTTTGTTAACAAAAATACTAATTTTGTGAAAGCAGTGCTATGCTAAAATTTTAATATTGCTGTGTACCTTTAACTATACTGCCCCATAAGGATTTCCCTATAACGCAATAACAAACTTTCTCCTATTTACTCCTAATACAGAAGAGAAGCCAAAGTTCAAGTAACCATTAGTAAGAACCTTTGCACATTACAGCGAATAAAATTAATAGATTTTAAGATATATTATGCTCATTTTATTTCTTTCACTACAGGCCATCAGCACCCAAGATCCCAGATGGTGAGAAAGTGGACTTTGATGTAAGAGTTCATGTATCTTTGGGAGTCTTTAAAATATACATAGCCATGTATTTGTCAGACAACATTGATGACAACATTGTTTCTCGCATGTCTGAATGCAGGACATTCAGAAGAAACGTCGGAACAAGGACACTCTTGAGCTGCAGTGCCTCATCGGCACTCATTTCGAGCAAAGGAAGAAAGAGGAGGAGGAGCTGATCGCCCTCAAGGAGAGAATTGTGAGTGAACGTCAACCGAGATGTAAAACGTTAGTCTGATCTTCCTCAGAATAAGAAGTCGTGAATGAAATGTGCTTTCTGTCTTCGAACAGGAGAAGCGCAGAACTGAGAGGGCAGAGCAGCAGAGGATCCGAGCTGAAAAAGATAAGGAGCGCAAGGCCAGACGTGAGGTGTGTATCACTGACCTTGCGAGTACTGTTAATTTGTTCATTAAAACAATGATGACCATGACTGAGACATAAAGATGCCACTGAAGTCACACTAACTGTAACTTTTTTAACGTGCAATGTTATAGGTTGTTTGCAATCAGGTGATTCTGATGACGCGCGAAATGCAGCTGGAGGGCAGGAAGTGATTTTTCTCCATAGAAATCACTAGCAGAAACTCAAAAGCCAGCTGCAGCCAGACCCTTCTCTCTTTTTCAGTCACTCCTGAAACTTTGCTGCATGTACAGGGTATGTGGCTGTTGGTCCTGTTAGCAGCACCTAAAACAAAACTTTTATTCAAATTCTGAATTGATTATAGC